ATTATTTATCAATATTCTTATTTCGCAGTGCTACATATATTTTACATACATTCTATTTAATGTATTGCAAAATATTTCATAAAAAAATAAATGTATTGAAAAGAATTCTATATTGTTTTATTGATCATAAATTAATCTAGTAGGTATATTAAGAATGGTGACTGTTTAATTGTAGTCATACTTATAATTTATTGTTTTTTTAATGAAATTGACAACTTTAGGAATGATTGAACCTCGTCATCAGGCTATCAGAGTCCACTGCTGAGCAAAGGCCTCTTCTCACATAGAGAAGGTTTGAGCATTAATCACCATGCTTGCTCAAGAGAGGTTGGTGATTTCAAACTTATAATTGTGTAATTATAAGTCTAGGTTTCCTCATGATGTTTTCCTTCACCGTCTGTCAGTGGTGTCTAAATACTCTCAGAAAGTACATATAACTTGGAAAATCACATTGCTACTTGCCAGGATCGAACCCGCGTCCTCATGTATGAGAGGCGGGCCTTTAAGCTCTAGGCCACCATTGACTGACAGGACTGATGATTGAACCTAAATTTAACGTTTATTGAAACATCTAGCGTAGTGTTTTAGTCTCCAAAGTCGTTTGAGGTTAACGTCACCCTATAGAAATTGCAATAAAAACTTTTATATCAGATTAAATTACTGTGACGGTAAAAGGTTTATTTAGAATACCTTTACCAATTTAACTTAGGTACTTAGACTACCGAATTTTATATGTGCAAATATTTGTGACTATAAAACGGGAAACGCTACGTATGGAGTTAACAATACAACTAATAAGCTTGTAGTAATGGAGTATAGGCCAATAAGATTTAGTTACGATTCCATAAATCTTACTATTACATCTTTAAGAATATTTGTACAGTACTAATTTTGTTGTAATGGAATGGACTTTTATATGAAAAACCATGAATAGTTATCAAATAACACGAATATTATAGAATTTTAATTTTCTTTTCTTGTCTGACTCAGCAAGATTAAACAGTGATCATTTATTTTTATTATTTTCCTTAATGAATTTTTATTGAATCATTAAGTAAAAATCTTCCTAATTACGAATGTTTTAATAATAATTTAATTATCTACAAAGTATTATAAAAACTCAATATATCTACATATATTTAATTTATTCAATTTTTTACTGTAACTATTTGTAATTAAATTGAAATGTCATTAATTAATAACAACATACAATAACTTGTTTTCAAATCGAATATCCTTGTTTCGTAACTTAAAAAATATGAAATAAGCAATCGTGTGTGTATTCATACGTGCTCACATACATACATCGCTAAGAAATAATGTTGATTAAGTAATAAATTAAATGTATTTAATGATGTGTCACAAAGTAATAAGATTGGATTTCAATTAACATAAATAGAAACTTTACTAAACTGACGTCATGTTGAAAATATTGTGATCTATTATATGTAGTTTATTTGATTTAGAATAATGGCTCTATAAATAGGCACATATTATTAATTAGCACACGAATCCAAGATATTATCCTAAATTTTTGCTTGATAGATCTGCAAAATAGTTGGTGGAACGATTTTGAAACGTTTTTGCTTATCGATCTATTCGGGATTTGTTTTCGGATTTCTTTCTGAACTACTAATTACGAAGACTAGTTGCTACTTCAGTCTGTTGACTGCGGGATGTTTTGTTTTAGTGTTATAATTTTCAAGGAAGAAAGAATATAACTTAATTTGTGCTTTTGCTCATAATTAATGACGAAGTATTCAAAGTAATATTTGTGAGTCTAAATTGCTGTATTATTATTTGTACAATATAAGTACATAGATATTGATTTTGTTTTTTCAATTACATATACATATAATATAACGGAAAATTTTGTTAATTAACTACATGAATGGAACTGATATCTTTTCAAATATTTTATAACGAAATAATATGTCACGTCTAAGTTTACTTTTATAAAATTATTTTTAAAAGCTTTTATATTTATAATTTGTAACATGAAACACTGGAAGAATAATATTATTTATTTTTTGCGATGTCTGCACTCTGCTGCAACGTTGGAGTTCTTCATTTTGATAATTATCTTTGCAGAGCATGCAGCTGTAATGGTCCTGAACGAAAAAATTGTTTGCTTTAAAAATATTTATCTCTAAAGTCTCATGCTAAAAATGCTGAATACAAGTGATATGAAATACCATTTTATTTATTTTCGTATAACTATTCGTATTTTTATTTCTATGAACGTGGAGCGTTTTTATTTGTTTTTTGTTTCATTTTATTCCTCTCCAGGCTTAACGAAAAATACTTTACTCGCAAAAACAGCAAAAAGTCCCAGTTAGGATATTTTAAATTTTGCGTGCTCTAGAAACCTATTTATATATTTTCACGTAGTTAACAACAATCGTATTGGGTTTAATGTTCAATTTCAGATTTTTGTATCTCACAGGTAGTTTGTATTTGATTAAAAGAGTAATAAAAGAATGTTGTAAAGTTTTTCCAGTAATTGTAGATATGTTAAAACATCCTTCGCGACGTTTAAATGGCTTCAAATTACTCATTGGGTATAAAAAGATTATAGAGAATTCAAAGTTAAATATAAAGAAAACTTAAAAAAAATGCTGCCTGGATAGTCTTCGTCCCCAAAAATGTACGAGATTTCACCGATTCAGTGTGATAGTTAGAAAGAGTAATACATATTTCTAAATATATCATTATAATAGCATTTTCAACGTTATTCTTTAACTTAGAAACAGCTTAAAAACAAACTAAACTTGGTAATTTAATTCGAATTATTCATGTAAGAAATAACTTTGACCTCATTGCAAATTTAATTCTCATTTGGCCTTTAGAACTTGTATTTGACTTATCGGTGAGATCATTAAATGGCTGATTTAGAGTAATTATTTAAATAAATTTTATGAATAATAAGTCGCTTTGAAACTGAGATTAATTTAAAATTTCCTTTTAGGCAAATAACAATGTTATTCAGCGAAAATAAGGGTAGACATTTTATGACGTTAATATCGAAGGTCATGCTAACCTTTAAAATAGAAAAGTTTTCAAAGCGTTCGTATATATTTAAAAGAACTGCCAATCTGTGCGTATTTACTTCACTAGGGGATTGCAATTAGAAAAAAAACTCTTATCTTAGAAACTTAGCCTAACATGCGTAAAAGTATTTTAATCAGGTCGAAAAGACTGTTAATTAAAAAATAAAGTCACTTGATTTGATATTATCAGCGAATAACATTGCACAAAGCAATATGATTTTTTAATTTTCTGAAAAAGTATTCTATGAATTGAATTAATTAGTTAAGTTTATTATTGATTTCATTTCTCTAATAAAGGTATTATTCTGTATGCTAGCACATTTAGTGTTTCGCCAACGACCCAGTGCCCTAGATTGCTTCTCTTGAAATCGTTGCGATCTTTCTGTTGAGGATTTAGATTTAGTCAGATATAATTCATTGTTGGATAATAAGTGAATGTAAGACATTTTACTTTGTATCGTAATATATAAATAATAAAAATTATAACTGGTTGGTATAGATTTTTATTGATTTGTGTATTCTGGATTTAATTGAAATTCAAAAACGGATTTATCTTCTGTTACGTGTAAATTATATATGAGAACATCTATTATAATTTCAGTTTAAATGTAAATTGGTAGTTTAATAAGTATGTAGGAATTTATTTTGGACATCAGTTTGTTAGCCCTTATAGGTATAGATAAAAATTATAGTTTTCGATGGGCAAGTACAATATTGTTACATACATTTGTTTCCGCTCTAAAAGAAATGTAACAGTTAAGGTAAAGTTTAGTCTTAATCTCTTCAGTAAAATAGGTTACAATTAATTAATGACATAAAATATATATCTCACACCAAAAAATACCTTGGTTAATAGAACATATATTACGTTTTTTTAATTAATTTTAATAGGCTTCGAATAAAAAGAATGTACAATATCAGCTCTATAAAAGTGCTATTTTTTTAAAGCAATGTCGTTGGAACAGCTATTGAAGAGATTTTCATTCACTCTAAGTAATTACACCAAGAAATTATATGTACATCCTGTCTTTTTTATTTTGAAATTTAAATATGAGCGAATGTAACAAAAAATAACACGTCTTGTTCTAATAATAATGTTAGGATAATTTTTGCATGACTAGGGCTAGGACATCCTTGGTGAAAAGTAATAATATGAAATTAAACTTATTTTGAAGTCGTTTCTAGTCGTTAGTGAGTACAGAAATTAAAATTAGTAATTGTAAATAAATTAACGTCGTTATAAGTAAAAACCTGATTTTTAACCACTAACAGGAGGAAAATAAGATAATGCAGAATCATTTGATTAATTATTATCAGTTAGAGGCAAACAAAGGGGAGATTTTTTTATTATGCTTTAAACCATGTAGGACCATAAAACATTTAAAAATTAATATACATATATATATATATTGTAAGTATAGGTGGCTATTAAAAGTAATATCGAAATTATCTTTTCCTTGAAAAACTACAGTAATTCAAGAATCAAGTAAATTTTTTGTACAATGTACTAAATTACAATATGATCTATGGCTCTCGTTTCATTGATGACACCTCTCACCCGACAGTTAGTAGACTGTGTTGCTAGAGTAATAATGCAACAAGAGTTTGCGTCTTTCACACTTTAATAAACTTTCAACTAGCTTGGAATATTAATATAATTTTATACATAGTTGTTAAATAAAAAAAGTTAAATTAAGAAATAAGTCAAGAGGGATATACAACACTTAATTACATTTATAAACTTTAAATTAACTAACTGAAATACGTAAAAAGCATAATTTTTATTATAAAAATTATGGTTTATTATTTTTTTATCTATTAAAATAAAGTATTTGATTTTTAAGTAAATTATTTAATCCAACTTGACTTCTCATAATTTTTATACACATGAGAATTAGAAACTCACAACTGGTAACATTCAATAGTCTGTGTCTATGCATATTGACAATCATGGCGAGCACGTCGAGGTCTGTTTTTATAATAAATTTTTAATTTTTAATGTCTCGTTTCGGAGTTATTAAACATTTAATAAACCGAATAATATTAAATATCTAAATAGTTTTATGTAAGTTTTGGTTGCAACGTAAAAAGTGTAGCTAGGCGGGTTAACGGAGTCAGAAAGATTTCTTACATCGTTACTAAACTTTCATTTGTGATTTTAGAATCGAAGCTAATAAGGTGGTGTGTTATGCTCATCCCGATGCCCCGCTTATTGAGGATTATCGAGCGGGTGACATGATATGTTCAGAATGCGGCCTCGTTGTTGGCGACAGGTAAAATTGTTTACATCGTACATTATCAACATCACGGTAATTATTGCAATACCCGTACATAATGCACGTAATATATAGCTTTTATATGCCAAGGCTAAATATAATTGTGCAAGGAGAGAAGTTTTTTAATTGTTACTACATAAACAATGCAATGCAAATATTAATGTGCAAATTGTTACTTTATATTTTCTTGCAAATATTGAAATAATTTTAATATATAACTTCCCTTGTGTTTCAAGTGTTTTGTAACATGATTAAATGGGTGTGGCAGAAAATATGCCTGGTATTAATATAACTTAAGAAAAAACATATTATTGATAATGCAATAGATTTTGTTTCAATAAACTATCATTAAATATTTTTTTATGATTAAAATAAATTCTTTGTTTCATCATATCTATTGCAAGATTTTGTATGGAAATATATTTCTTAAATATACATTAACTAACTGTATACATGTATACCCATAGCTTATAACTAATAATATAAAAACAAATTTATTATTGGGTATTCAGAACTAAGTAGTTTTAATTGTTTCACAGAGTTATAGATGTAGGTTCAGAGTGGCGTACCTTCAGCAATGAGAAATCTGGAGTGGACCCTTCTCGTGTGGGAGGTCCAGAAAATCCTTTGCTATCAGGAGGCGATCTCTCCACTATCATTGGTCCCGGAAGAGGGGATGCTTCCTTTGACAATTTTTGGGTATCCAAATATCAAAACCGAAGAAACATTAGCAGCACAGACAGAGCACTTATAAATGCTTTTAGAGAAATAAACACTATGGCTGATAGAATTAATCTGCCCAAAACTATAGTGGATAGAGCTAATAATTTGTTTAAACAGGTATACCAAACATTTTATAACATAATAACTAAAATAAATTTTCCTATAGATATAATGATTTTGTAAATAATTGTAATAAATTACTGAGAAAGAGCAGAAACAAAAAATCGGATTTCAAATTTTTTAGGGTTTTGAATTGTCTTATATAACCAGTTGCCCCATAAAAAATTCCACAATTTCTAATGATAACTGGTTATATATATTTCTGTGATTAATAATAACAAATGATTAAATTTCCTAGGTACATGATGGCAAAAATTTAAAAGGCAGAGCGAACGATGCAATTGCCTCAGCATGTCTATACATAGCTTGCCGGCAGGAAGGAGTGCCGAGAACATTCAAAGAAATATGTGCAGTTAGTAAAATTAGTAAGAAGGAAATCGGAAGATGTTTCAAATTGATACTAAAGGCGTTGGAGACGTCAGTGGACTTGATAACAACGGCAGATTTCATGTCTCGGTTTTGTGCCAATCTTGGTTTACCAAACTCGGTGCAACGAGCTGCGACACATATTGCAAGGAAAGCTGGGGAATTGGATATTGTATCTGGAAGGAGTCCTATATCTGTTGCTGCTGCTGCTATATACATGGCTTCGCAGGTAATTTTATCATTCTAATAATATTGTTGACAAAAAATCCTATTAATAAACTTTTTAAGAATGTATGCAGGTTTTGTTGCTCTTTCAATTAAAAACTACTGAACTGTAATTGATTAAACTTTCCAGTAATGTTGCCAGATATTAGAATATTGAATATAGGCTCTAATTTAATCAAAGATTCCATATATGGTGTTGCCCATAGGGGTTACCATATCTAATTCATTATAGTATATGTTATTATGTACTTATTTCTCTCTGAACTCAATTCTAACATCCACATGGGAAAAGTCATTGGAAATTACTAGTGTTATAATATCGTAATTAAGTATTGTAAACTAAATAATTTTCTTATTTTTGTAAATCTCATATAAATATACATATTTTAATATGCATAATAATATATGACAGTATAGACATACTAACAAAGATGAAATATCTTTCAGGCATCAGAAGATAAGCGTAGTCAGAAAGAGATTGGTGACACGGCAGGTGTAGCCGATGTAACTATAAGACAGTCATACAAATTGATGTATCCATGCGCTGCCAAATTATTCCCCGAAGACTTCAAATTCGCTACACCCATTGAATTCCTACCGCAAATGTAATATAATGATCACTCTTGGGTATAATTGTATGTAAGAGTATAGTGTACATGAGAATTCCATACTAGAATGCTTTCGTATATACCTAATTTGTGTATTTTTTTATATGTAAGTTTGCTATTGCTAATAGAAAAATTATGAAGCATCATTGTACTGAAATACTGAGGTATTTTTATTATATAGAACACTTCTGTTAAGATAAACAGCTTAATTCCTATAAAATTAAGAGTTATTTTTGTTTAAAACTGACTTCTAAATATAAGACTGTCTTGTGAGTTGTGACTGAAGATATAAAGATTGTTTCAAATTTTTTATTACTAAAGACAGATTTTTTCTCATTTTTCTGATAGAAACAAAATATTATCTTATTGAATTATCTATACTTATTAAAAGCCACATGTTACTTTCTAAATTCCATACAACTAAGATTAATGACTTTATAATGTTTCTATGTGACAATTAATCTGATTTCAAGATTATCAATAAGTATTCTGTTTAGAAATAAGTTTTATATAGTTTTACATTAACAAAATAATTAAGATAAGTTAATTTAACTGTTAAAATTGTTCACTGAGAAAAACTAGTTTTGTTCATAATTTCTTGTTATTGTATGCTAAATAATTTTCTATCTAAAATGTTTTCATTTAAAAAAATTTGGATCTTTAAATTTTTCTATTAATAAATATTTTTTTGCTAAACAATAATTATTTTATTACAAAGATTACTTTATGCTTCATATTAATTGTACTTACAATATTTTAAATACTTCCTTTGTTTATAAAACATATGTTGTAATTACGTAATCGAATTTATTTAACTTGAACAGTGAGATAAATTTACATATAAATTGTAATTCTTTGATAGACTTGATCAAATAGCTGTAATAAAGTAGATTATTTGAAAATAAACAAGTTCATGTGTTCCAATTTGTTTAATTACGATTGACTGCTATAATTTCAATGTTAATTTATTTTAAACATCAAAGATAACATATGTTGGTTTTGTATGAACAATAGATTCAAACTTGTGGGTATATGTAAAAGCGATTAATTTAATATAAATCTAACTTGTGTAGTAAACATAAAATGTAGTACATATAAAAATAAACTAAATGAATTTAATAGAAAAATAGTTATGTTTCAGATAAATTAATAATATAAAGGAATTATTAGTAAAATGAATCCTATTCAAAATTAATGGACTGAGGATAATGAAAAGAGGTTTAGTATTAAAAACTAGCAAAGGAATTTTTACACTATGTTGAATTATACAAGGAAGTTTTTTTTAATGCTACTGCTAATTGTTGATGCAGAATAGTTATATAAACAACTAGAAGACCTGGCGAACTTCGTATCGCCCTATAATCAAGAAATGTCTATTACGTCTTTTTATTTATATTTTTGGAGTTAATCTGTAAGCCATAAATCTCAATGTTTTGAAGTGCGACAGAATGATTGACATATTAATTAGTTGTCAAATCTAATGTCACAAAAAACGTTTGTATGGGAAATAGAAAAGGGCTGTTTTTATTGTTTTCCCAGTAATGAATCAATTTTTCTCAGCTTTTATACCTTCCCTGAACCTCCACGAACATTTCAAGACTAAGTTTAGATAAATCCGTTCAGCTGTTCTCGAGTTTTAGCAAGACTAAGGAACAGCAATCCATTTTTATATATATAGAAGATTATGAATACAGGAGTATTTTTAGAGGTTTTATGAAACTTTTTGTTTCGATTTCATTCTTAATTTTATTTTTATCATTAATATTTTCTTAATTTCGTCATTCTAAACCCCTGGTTTTATTTCCGTAACTATTACTAAGAAACCCAAACTAGGTACATCTATTAAAAATTTAATGAGCATACTTTCAGACACACTAAATTTTTTTACATAAAATAGCAACCATGGTTGGAATTAAAGAATTACATACTGTGGTGCTCGCATAGAAAAATCTTTTTAATTATATATCGAATTAAATCCTGCTTCAATTGAAAGTTTAAGATTGCTTTGAGTTATGTGCACTAATTAGCACTTTTCCGCTGAAAATTATTGAATGGATCTTAGTAACATTTTATAGTATGTAATAGATCTATTGATAAGTCATAGGTAGATATGTTATGATATATCATACATAACAATTAATAAAATATATAGTATGATCATACATAACAACGAATTTTATTACCTATCCAGAATTTTGTAGTTGCTAGTAATCTGGACACGACAGTCATATATGCGGTATGTAGTCCCAAAATGGCTGATAGATGGCGCTGCCAGTTTGTTAACTTTTATATTTATTTAATCACAATTTGTTTCTCTGAAACGGAATTCCAAAAGCAACGTGGAGGATGATATGTTATCTCAAACATTATAATTCGATATTGAAAAATTTATTTTCTTTATCCCTAATTAGTTTTTTTACTAATTGATTTTCACCAACAATCTTAAAACAGAACTATAGTCTATATTACCAGTGGCGTGCATACCATAGATATAAATAAGCGCTGCATGCCCTACCCATATAAAAATTAAACCTATACTGTTTAATTCTTACTTACATACTTTTAATCATACATTACGAAATACAAATAAGATAATAAGTGCCATCTATCAATGTCAAAACGAAACATTTTCGATCGGCCGATGCCAACTGCTAGCGCCGCTATGCAGCCAAGGCGTTGAGGCGTACACAACCACTCTACTTATTTTCCATACAAAAATAATCAAGGAGGATCTACAAATCTCGTGTATGTATGCAGGAAATATTTGTATGTGTGTGTGAAAAACTGACCCATGCATAGTGTTCGAGACGCACTGATTATTTTGAATACAAAAGGTATTTACAATCTCGTTGAAAGTTCCGTTAATTGTCAAATGAAATGGGACTCTCTGATTGGTCGATAAACTGTTGATAATTTTTTTCCGCCATTTTATTATTATTGAATATTGTCATTTGTCTTTCTAAGTGCAAGTGAAAAAGTTTTTTTTAGTTAATTAGTAAACAGAAGATTAATTTATTAACAAATTATGGAAAATTATAGCTGTGAGCTCTGTGCTTGTCATGTGTTTTTATTGAAATTAGTTACTAGTAGATTTACAATATTGTCGTTTGATTATAAAATTAAAATAAGTGTAAAGCCAAGGTGTGTGACCAGTTGGGATTGAATTAAAAAAGGTAATGTTATTCGTTTTAATAAAAACTTATAATAGTTTTAATTAACTATCAGGTTGTGAGCACACAAATAAGTTATTTAATTACGTTTGGTGGCAGCGAAGGATGCTAGAAAAATCCGTTTTAATTATAAAATATATTCAATTTAACAATTAAGACTTAAATTTAACTACTAGCTAGAGCGGGGGCTTTTAGTCAGCGATTGACTTAAGACCCATTCTATAATTAAATCTTATAACTAACTACATCCTAAATAGGTGTCTGTAAGTCAGCGGTTGACTCCAGACTGAATATATGTTAAATCCCATTTTGCATTCCCACCGATGGCTCAGAGTCCGCATTCTTTACTTTATACCATTGTTATACCGTAAACTTAATATCTGGTTATGCTGCTTGCGTAACAATTTTGTTTGCCTTGTTTGTTGTTTTCAAATGATAATAATCAGAATGTTTGAATCTCCACTGGATATTCCTATTTAAATAACTTTTATAAAGCTGTGATGAACAGATCGTAAACGATTAAGGTATTTAAAAAACTTTTGAATTCGAATAAAAGGAGAATAACATTTTATTTTAATACCTATGAATTAACTGTATTTTCTTTTGAAAGTTTCAGGGTGATTCTATTGATTGTTGTTTGTATTTACATATAATAAACAATGCCAAACAGTTTTATTGACGCTACATATAACAGTGACGGGAACAGTCGTATCAATCAAGGTTAGATCGATTTTTTCCAAACATCATAAATCGTTTTCATGTTCATAAAAGCTTGTTTAACTATGAGAGAAATTTATGTAGTCTTTAAACGTACGAACTTGTAGTCATACGTCACTTGTGTATCCTGCTTCAGAAATAAAACCCAATATTTGTCTGAAAAGTTGAAATGAAGCTAATAAAAATGTTTGTTGCTGAATGTAACGTTTAGCTGTCCAGTAGCAATGGCCATTCATTACTCGTTCCACAAACTCCAGTAATTAATGTTGGGTAGGGGTGGCAGTGAACATTGAAACATCCCTTTAGTGCTTTATTTTGATCTCTCAATTACCACACTCGTGTCGTTTGTGAAAATTAAGAGAACCTACCGATATAAATGGTACAAATATGTCGTATGAAATTTAATTGTGAATATTTTTATGTAAAAGTAATTGAAAACCGTTTAGTAGGAAAATCGTGTTTTATTTATAAAAACTTTGTTTAATAATAATTGTAATTACTACCTCGATCTTAAGATATATTCTAAAATCGGGAAATTTTATCTCCGACGTAAATTTTTTTTTAGTGTGTCCTTATTTTATTTACTTAATTTCATTTCTGTACTAATAGCATATGGGTCTAATCTTTAGTATCTTGTAAAGTGTCGAAATTAGAAGCCGGAACGATGCTCTTTTCAAATCCTTATACAAAATTAATGTTAGAAAACTTCTATACAGCACGTGTCTGCGGGCCACTTAAAAGGTGTTTGAGCTTAAGGTAGGTAGGGAAAGGAGCTTGGACAGTGGAGGTGAGCGTATAACGCGCGTTAGATAAGGGGCCCCTTAAACCTACACCTGGGTCGCAAGTCCCAGTCACTGTTGAAGCTCCTCTCCCTGCAACGTAATGGATCCGGCACCCGCATGATGAATCCATTGAATGGTAAGAGGTTTCGTCTCCATCCGTTGAATGCTAAGAGGTAAGTCATGATTTTAATTGTGTAGAAAACAGAACAAATTACAAATAGTTTCATAATAAATAAACGTATACAATTGAATTCCTTGGGCAAAAAGTGAAAGAGAAACGAAATAATCTAAAGTCAGTAAACTTACAAATATCTTTTCAAATAATATATAGATTGTTGTAGTGCCTATTAATCCACCATTTAAGTCAACGAGCTTATCCAATACTGAAGAAACCTTTCTAAATCAATTATTTGTTTTACATGTACTTGAACTTTACTTGAACTTCCCTTTCAAACAGAATATTTTATTTTTTAACAGAATAATTCGTACCACTTTTAGGAATTTACCTTTATATTATTCGAAAAGCCAACTTTGTTCTCTTTATTTCTAATTATGTTTGAGAAAATAAAATTATTTTTTAAGGCACATCTTCACTAACATGTAATGTTTAAAATAATGATATTAGTTAAATTGGTCTCATAAAATCTTTTTTTAATTTTGCTACTTTTTACTTGCGATAGTCATGTACAGGTATAATCAAACGAAACTTAGAACAGAATATATTTAAAATAGAACTTAAATTAACTATAAGAAATTTTTTCTAGCACAATTTTTTTAAATTAATATTATAATTAAAGGTTCAGCTATTTTAAGGTTAACGTTTTGTTGGGAACGAATGCAGTTTTATACTCCCGAAGATCCAAGACTCTCAAACCGTCGCTTATGATATGACGTTTTTTTATTATTTCAATATTATTTTATCTGACATGCATTTTGTCATTAATTAAATAACATAATTTTAATAACGTAATTTTATAAATTGTTATGTTTATTATTCTTTTCATTCATCATTTTGTCGTTTTTATTTACCTTGAAATATTTTAGTTTATTTTTGTAAAATTCGCAAAATAAATCCCAAAACGACATTCTATCGTAGAATGGACGCATTGAGTGCGACAGTTCATCCCCTATTACAAAACAGGATAAGTCTTGTTTCACTGGAAGCCATTCAACTGGTAGGAGCTTTGATATCTTTGGAGTAGGATTTCTGGAAATATGGAAATGTTATGTATATGATTACACTTTTTGGGACGAATACAATAACAATTTAGTAATTTCCTCACCCGAATTTAGCAAAATTTGCATACAAACTCGTCATTCTATTAATCATTAATTGATCTCTGTCCGTTGGTTTCCCTTCATATGATATGTCAAATAAAAATGCAATATCGTCAGCATGACATGCTCCTTTTAGTTTATTTTTACATCTCTTCTTAACGAAATTTCTGTCACCAGAATATGTGAACATGTAATGATAAACTGTTGATCCGTGTGATAATAATTCTTTAATTCTAGTTTGGATTGGATGAACAAAATTAAAATCTGAATCAAAGGCGCTTATTTCGTTTATGACTTCTATAGATATTTCCTTGTCACCTAAATAGAATTGTTTCACTATATTACCGACGTCCACGTCATCGCCTAAATCGTAAGTAGAGTTAATATACAGGTCAAATATATTTCTACTAAATGTTTCCTTGTCGTGATAACGGAACATGGTCTCAGAGTCGCAGTATCCCATCATAATAGGAATAGATCTCCTTATAGACATATTGGCTGGATAATTTGTTATTAGTGGATCGATTCCATCAAATATTTTCTCTACACATGGACGGAAATGTATTCCTAAATCTAAAGAAGCTTTAATAACTAAATGCGGATGTACTTTTGATAGATATTGTACTGCTAGCTCTCCATTATCAGTTTGAAAACCAAGTTGTGCTGCGATTCTGTTCGCTATAGTAATATCTGCTTCTCGCACAACTAACGGGCGATATATTGTACCACTCATTATTATTGCTTTATCAAAAAGACATTCTTCTAGACTAAGAAATAGATCGATCGTTGTGGCAGCCGAACTTTCACCGAAAACTGTTACATTATTAGGATCACCATTAAAATGTTTGATGTTTTTCTTAATCCAGCGTAAAGCCAGGCGAATGTCTTTTAGGCCTTGATTACCGGGAACATCTGGGGTATGTAAGCACAAAAATCCATAGGGTCCTACTCTATAGTTCACGGTAACTAATATAACATTTTGTTTCGTAAGATATTTTGGACCATATAAATATCGGCTTGCAAATCCTATTTCGAATCTTCCACCATAAATCCATACCATGACAGGAAGATGACTAATGTCTGTATCTGGTACATGAATATTTAGATGTAAGCAATCCAAGCTTCCAACGATAACATTACTAAATTCGTTCATTTGTGGACTGACTGCAGAGTCGTCGTCGGCAATAAATATCTTATCAAACTTTGGATGAGGCATTGATAGCTGAAAAATATTACTTGGATTACTAACTTTTATTTCAATTTAAAAGGAATCATCAGAGGGTTATTTCTATAAACTGAAGAGCCTTCCAGGGGAGGTCTTTCCTATTTATGTTGTGAAGGTGGCTTAATATAGGAATGGGGCTTAAAAAGCTGCCGGAACACTTACATTGCTACAGCTAATAGAGAGATTTAAGCAAGGAATCAATATTTATACTTTATTATTAAGTCTATAGTTATAATTGATGACTATTGCTATGGAAATTACTACACTGCATAAACTTCTTTCTAGCGCATAATACTGCTGCTTTGTGCTTCAACACTTTTTTTAAAGAAAATATTGTGGTATATATTTACCCCAAAAGGATTTCTTCCAAGTTTTGCATACGGAATACCCATAAACATATTGTATGTCCCGTCTTCTGCTCTCACTCCTCTTATCGTGCCAACTTCGGTGTTAACAATATTTGATTCGGTTTTGATAACAGACACTGAAACAACGAAAACTCAATAATTTTTGTATACAAAAAATTTAAACCAATTTATACATTTCTTACTAATTTTTTAGGTGAAATCGTTTTATTTATTTCTAAATTAAATAACAACAGGTTGTACACTTGTTAATTCGTCAGAAGTCACTGAGTATTTCAGTAAAACATGTTACTTTTATACCTACCACTGTTAATTTGAATGTACTTACGTCTTTTGTCTGTCATGACTTAGATAAAACTATGTTATTTGTTAATTTGCATTCTACCATTATCGTGTTTTATAAATCAGACAGCATTATGTTTTAAATAATATTATATGAAGGCCGTTTGTTTTCTTCCTAATGTATCATCCGTATTAATTAAAACAGGACATTCTTATTATTCAGTATTTATTCGGACAACCGGATAAGAGAACGGGTTAGTGGTTATAAAATGTATCAAAAAATTACGTAATATCTAAATAATTGCAGGTTTTTTGAGATCTAATACTTTCGTGAGTATTCATTGAAATGAAACTAATATTTTCGGACTACTACGTTTATTTTATTATTTTTATAAACTACATGCTCCTGACCTTTCGGTTACTTTGCAGCAATCGTGATCACGGGTAGACAAGATGTAAATCGAGGTTATTTTTGTTTCACATGAGTATAGTTGACTCTCCGAAAATATTTTTCTTCCAACCAGACCAATGTATCAACTGTAAAAGCTAAAAGTGTTTCAGATGTTAATTATTGACTATTGTGTTAATTATTCTGATACCCATAATACTATGCTGAAACAATAAAGTACTAGTTCATAATTTTTTTCCGTAAAGTCACTTTTTCAACACATTTTTATATTTGATTTTTAACTTTTTGAAATTTTAATACTAAACAGTGTAATAACCAAGATTTCAATGCTTTACTCTTTTTTCCAATATTATGGGAATAAACCAAAGCTGCCAATATTCCTGTAGATGTTATGATTCAAATCGCTTGGCATTTTGTGGATGAAAAAATGTTGGTCACATATTTCAGGTTTTTTATTTATAAAAAAGCAATCAAACGAAAATAATGTAGAAGACAATGTAATGTTACATAATTCTGAGCAAAAATAGACAATAGGTTTTGTTCTTACCATGTTATGTGTGAATGGTCCACAAAATTTATAATTTATCATTTCTTTGCTATTCAAATTTTGTGTGAATATATTTTACATTATTTCTACGTCATAAACATTAATTATACTTTGGCACCGAATAGGAAATCGATGAGAGGAATTAGAGTTTTGCTATGAAACATATCTGTCTTCATTTGTTTCATTACGTGGCTTACAATTCATAAGAATTATGTCACAGAAGAACATTCTATGTATGTACATGTTTTATAATTTACTAGAAGTTTTTTTATTTATATTTTTGGAGTTTACCTGTAAGCATTAAATCTCCGTGTTTTGAAGTGCGAAAGAATGATTGACATATTGGTTAGTTGTCAAATCTAATGTCAAAAAAAAAAACGTTTGTATGGGAAATAGGAAAGGGCAGTTTTTATGGTTTTCCCAGTAAATAATCAATTTTTTTCAGCTTTTATACCTTCCCTGAACCTCCACGAACATTTAAAGACTAAGATAAGATAAATCCATTCAGCTGTTCTCGAGTTTTAGCGAGACTAAGGAACAGCAATCCATTTTTATATATATACTAGTTTTTGCCCGCGACTTCGTCCGCGTTAATTTCATGATTAGTAATATATGTATAGCTGACCGGGTGAACTCTATTCCGTCCTAGAGGCCATAAATAATCAGGTTTTTCCTGTTTCAATCGAACAGAATGATTGACATATTAGTTAGTTGTCAAATCTAATGTCAAAGAAAGCATTTGTATGGGAAATAGAAAAGGGCTGTTTTCAGGGTTTTCCCGGAAATGAATCAATTTTTCTCACCTTTTTAACCTTCCCTGAACCTCCATGAACATTTCAAGACTAAGATAAGATAAATCCGTTCAGCCGTTCTCGAGTTTTAGCGAGACTAAGGAACAGCAATCCATTTTTATATATATAGAAGATAGAAGATTATAGAATTCAGTTATTAATGATTAAATTTAAAAAAAGCTTTCTTTGGACTTTATGACTGACATGAAGTTAGTTCATTTTTAGTTCGTTCGTTCGTTAGTTTATATTCGTTAGTATAAATTTATTAATTTTAATATAGAACAACAAGTACATTTTTAAGCTAATTTCACGACGCTCACACTGTTTACTTCGCAGCATAGCAAGAATACAATGCGCATGTGCTTTCAATCTTTCTACGTTTGTGTATCTTTCTTTCTTCTTTCAATCTTTCTACGTTTGTATATTTTCTTTCTACGTTTGTGTATCTTTCTCCTTCAGCGTAAAACGTTTAACGCAACCGTGTTGGAAGTCGCATACGAAGGTTCACTTCAATAAAATAATAGCCAGTATTACTTAAATGTTTTTTTCTGAATTCTGAATTCATCATATAAACAATTTGTTGAATGAAAAAATTTTTAGTAACATAATATCTCGAGGTTGTTTCAACAGAATTGGATCAATTTGTCATAAAGTTTATTTTATTATAATATGAATATTGTAGGAAAAATTTAAAACAATATAAGTAAATTTACTTTTTTTTCTATTATTTTTTTTTTAAATCATGTAACGATGTCTAAGATTTTTGTGAGTACACAAATGAAACTATGATTTTCGGATACTACGAGACTTTTTATATAATTTTTCTTTATGAAAGAAACGTATTAGAAATGTTGTTAGGAGTGGACGATTGAATATTGGATTAAGCACAAACATATAAATTAATAACATATGTATGTAAAGTTACTAATAAGGTATAAGTATAAAAAACTTTTGAATTCGAATAAAAGGAGAATAACATTTTATTTTAATACCTATGAATTAACTGTATTTTCTTTTGGAAGTTTCATGGCGATTCTGTTGATTCTTGTTTGTATTTATAATAAACAATGCCAAACAGTTTTATTGACACTACATATAACAGTGACGGGAACAGTCGTATCAATCAAGGTTAGATCGATTTTTTCCAAACATCATAAATCTTTTTCATGTTCATAAAAGCTTGTCTAACTATGAGAGAAATTTATTTAGTCTTTAAACGTACGAACTTGTAGTCATACGTCACTTGTGTATCCTGCTTCAGAAATAAAACCCAATATTTGTCTGAAAAGTTGAAATGAAGCTAATAAAAATGTTTGTAGCTGAATGTAGCGTTTAGCTGTCCAGTAGCAATGGCCATTCATTACTCGTTCCACAAACTCCAGTAATTAATGTTGGGTAGGGGTGGCAGTGAACATTGAAACATCCCTTTAGTGATTTGTTTTGATCTCTCAATTAACACACTCGTGTTGTTTATGAAAATTGAGAGAACTTACCGATATAAATGGTACAAATATGTCGCATAAAGTTTAATTGTGAATATTTTTATCTAAAACCAATTGAATAATCGTCGTTTAGTAGGAACATCGAGTTTTATTTATATACATATACTTTGTTTAATAATAATTGTAATAACTACCTCGATCTTAAGATATATTCTAAGATCGGGAAATAATATATTATGTGTGAGACTTTTTTTTTTGAGTGTGTCCTTATTTTATTAAATTTCTGTACTAAAAGCATATGGGTCTAATTTTTAGTAGTTCGAGCGTTGGTAATTTTGCAGAATACTCTTTTAAAGTGTCGTAACCAGAAGCCGAAACGATGCTCTTTTCTAATGCTTATAGAAAATTAATGTTAGGAAACTTTTGTACAGCACGTGTCTGCGGGCGGGCACAGCCACTTAAAAGGTGTTTGAGCTTGTCATTATGACCCCAATGATGGCAATAATAATTAAATTATTATCTTCATGTGCCTATTTTATGCCCGGGTCATATTAAATAGTTTAAAGAACTTAAGATGGCATCTTAACTGTTTTATAAAAATAAAATAAAAATAGAATAAATACCGCTGGATTGCCAACTTTGTTGTTTTTATTTCTAATTACGTTTGAGGAT